GTCGCGCATGGCATGGGCACATACTTCCAAAGTTCCAGCCTTCTAGCTTTTCTGGCTCTTGAGTTGGACGTGGGTGACAGATAGTGCGAACACACAGACACAGACAGCCTCTTCCCAATATGTGTTTTTGCAATTTGCATATATGCAAAAACGCATAAAGAGCAATAATGTAAACGCACTCTTGGATGGACGCTGGCAATAACAGTTCCAAAAGCAGAAGCTGCCCAATCATTCGTTTAATGCGCATTGCGGCCTTTCCTTTGAACTGAAAAAAATGACTGAAATTTACTGAATAAATTCTTTTTTTTCTGTATTGCAAGATTAGCACTAAAGCAGCTTAGAAAAGACGAATTCAGCGAACTGTCAGAATTGGAAGGCAATTTCTGTTTGTGACTTTACTTTTTATGCCTATAAATTAATAATTTTTGATTCGGTTAGGATTATCAGAGCTGCCAAAAGTAACATACACACAAACATGTAATACAAGCACATACAAAAACAGACAAATTCATAAACACACATACATGTACCCATACACAGGCGCACATATTAGCACAAGCATAAACAGACGCGCGAACAAACGCACATAAACACATTGCACGCAAAAACATGTTACACACACACACACACACACACACACACACACACACACACACACAGAAACATACACATACACACATACGCTACACATGCATGTACTCATGAGCAAATGCACAAACAAACATGCCTACACGCACGTACACATGCACTCACATACACACGCATAATACACGCACATACGCAAGTAAGCTCTCTATAATATATCATAGTTTTTGTACAGAAGTAAGAAAATCAAAAAAAAAAATAGTTTGAATTCTCTCGAAATTTTTCGGGATAGCACGTTTCTTCAAAAAGTTGGTATTTTATAGAACAGAACTGGCATTTCAATCTCACTTTTAGTATTCAATCTTTAGTCTAACCGTAGCGGTGCAGCACTGAAAGATAGAAAGCATGCAGTCAGCCTTAAAGGAGAGGAGAGAAGTAACAAGAGTAGATAGACGGATCTTCGCGTGATGCTCGTATTTAGCAGAAGCGTCGCCGAACAAAAGTTGCTAAAGAGGATAAAGATTGTGGTGCACACGAAATGCGCATGGAAATGTAAAATATGCGATTCTGAATCCGCTTTTCAATCTACGCTCTTTGCTCACTGCTGATCATAAATTCAAAAGACTAAAAATCTTTGGACTTTAAAAAACCGCTTTTGTTACTTGGCTGTAGTCCATGACTACTTTGCCTATTTGCAGTTCTATTAATCAAGATTCATTTGAAAAGCAACACGAAATTGGGTAAAGTATCTGCAGTGCACATGCGAAACGTTGTAGATTCCTTAACAGGTATACAGCTGAGGTTATTTTGCGTATGCATCAAGAAGACTAAGTCTGCTCAGTCAGTTATTACAAAAATTTCTGAGATGTTTCAACACGCCGGATACAGCTGTACCAGTTCTTTCAGTACTGAGTTACATTCTCCAGTTAGTACCTCATTCTATGAATGAATGTTACCTCTTCGGAAGCTGCCCAAGTAGTTATTTTTATACGCTTTTGTTGTGCAGCGCTATAGCTCTATAATATTCTTTTTTTTTTTTTTTCACGCTATACAATATTTTCGTGGTCGCTGTTGTTTCGCTATGTTCTTAAGTAGCTTTGTTTATTATTGTGTTGTTTCATGCTACAGTAATAAATGAGACAAATGTGTAAATCTGTGATACTGGTGCAGCTACGAAAAATAACTAGCAATACTTTGGTGTGTGATTTGCTGGGGCGTTAAAATAAAACAGAAAAGACTCTCAGATAGCGAGCGATTCATGAACGACTACTGATCGGTTAAAACGTGAAAAAGACGAAGCATCGTCGTTTAAAACCAGTAAAAATTGAATAGGCAAGGGATTATGCTTCTCGAAATGCCGCTTAATGATCTGGAAGCAGTTATAAAGCGAAAAATTGTCAGTCGTCCCGTATTATCAAGCTCAGTGTTATTCGATATGACTCTAAAAGGATTTTTCTTATACACTGCCTAGATGAATCATTTCCAGGCAATCTTGAAATACTATTCGTTTTCGCTGGTTTTCTCAGGATTTCCAAATTAGTCCACAAAGTTCATGAAGAGGGTAACAACGAATTATGTATGAAGTTTTGATTATAGATTGGATGTGGATCACAAGTGAATATAGGATATCCTTGTAAATTTTCAGTTTCGCAACTTGTCTGGTACGCGAGATTGTCGTTTCGCTGCAAATAACTTTGAAGTGCCTTAAACTGAAATTTTTATAATACAATATTATGAGATGAAATGAAATGATGAGGGCGATACAGGTCGCTATGAAAGTGATTTGACCCAAGACGAAGCGTATGATCTAAAGACACTTTGTGGATAGTAATTGAGCAGTGCAGTACTTGGCCTCAGTAGTCCTTGAAAATGTACTCAATGGTGGGCTGCCAGAGACCGCATTCCGTATTGGAGCAAGTAAGTACCGCGACCAGCTTGAGATTCCTGGACTCCTGCGCCCTGGCCTTCTAACAACCAATAACTTGGCTCCTCAGGAGCTGCTGCCCCTCGGCTCTACTTTGGTGTCCAGACGCCAATGTCCACTACACAAAATTGCTACAGCCTGAAAAACGAATTACCCAAGTCAAGCAAAATTTGCGAAGTTTTTTACTGAATGGAAAGGACATTTGCAGTGATGTTTTATTCGTCGCTTTTGGTATTTTTTCGGCTGTCTGCCAAATTAATCATTTCGAAAATCTAGAGTAAAAAAATGCATTTTTATTTCTTCTTCTTAAGTGCCTTCAACTGATCGTAGATTTCCGCAAAAGTTGGCCTTTCGGTGGGTTCCGTTTTCCAGCAGTCATAAACTAGTCTTGAAACTTCTGTAGGCGCTGTCTGGAAAAAAAGTTCGCTTCAATCACCATTTTACGTCAAAAAAAAAAAAAAAACAGAAGTGCGGACTTCCATTTCATTCTATAATATTTTTGCAGAAGACTGTGGCATTCATGTAACATAAAATCTGCTTATAGCTACCACCAGCTGGAAGAGCATTTCGATGATTCCTTAACTTTAGAGTTGCTTAGAAGCAATCTAGCAGCAGTTCTGTCTTTCTCCTCCTCTTCCCACCACCACTACTCTCCCCCTCAAGTATATTTTCATTGTAAATGTCAGTTTGCCTTCAGAATGAACTAGTGAATCAGGTCTACAGCGGAGCATTCACATTATCACGTTATGCAAGTTTACCAACGTTATGATGTATTTATGGAGGAAATACCTTAAAAAGCACACAAGGATATCATAAAGCAAAACAGCAGAAAAAAGCTTGGAGCTTTGCAGAGTGCAGTATTAAAAATATCAAAAACCGAGGGTTTTTTGTTTTGATTGAAGGAAAAAGAAAAGAAGGTGGACAACAAAGGACGTAAAAGAGGACGTAAAAGACAAAAAGCCAACTAAGTTTTTACTTAGACTTTAAACGCGGTGTTTTTTTTTTTAACTTTTTATTTTTCAAATTACCTAAATCCCAACCTTTAACAATTATTTTCAAACCATCGTATTAACAAACCTTTGGCATTTCCATGCGATAATTCTGGACCACAATTTTAGCTCGTGTTTGAATATTTGACAAGCCCGGATAAGGTTCTTTACCGTCAGCATAGACTTCCCACACCTAGGAAGTCGGCGATATCATAAAAGACCGTGACTAATTAGTTACACATCTACGGACACTATTTTCTTTTTGGCGATGATCGTATTTTTTACAACCAAAACTGCACAACTCCTCGCACTTGCACGAAAGAGCAAGAATTTTCCCTTAGCCATAACATAGCGATGAAGAATATAGCTTTGAATGGAAGCAGTCCAATCATATTAAGAATATCCCAGCAGCTACGTCTATCTTCGCCAGGAAATTCTAAATATGTCCAGTCTCTAGCTGGTTAATACAAATTCTACATTAATCCTGAAAGGTCGTTATCAATTTGCTGAAGACAGTGACTTATGAACACAGAAGGTGATTGCTCGCGAAAGTTCAAGGGAGAGTGCTGGTTGTGACAGAAATAGAACCGGAATAAACGATGCTCTGTGTTCCAGCAACAACTTGTAGGAAAAAAGCATGGTTGT